CGTATTTATATATACACATGTACATATATGCATATATATATATGTATATATATATATATATATTTATATGTATATAAATATAAAAACATGTATATATATATATATCTATATATATATTTGTACATCATTATGTATTAATAACATATATATATTACTTGATAATACATATATAATATTATTACTACGAACGTCTATATATATTTATATATATATATATTATATAATACTTGAATAATAATATTATTACGAACGTCTATATATATGTATATATATATATATATATATATATACATGTATTATATATATATATATACATATATATATATATATATATATATATATTTAAAGACGCAGCACCAGCCAACGTTAGCAGCTAGAGTTAGTTAGCATCAGCAGCGAGGCATTTAACGCAGATAGGCAGTTAACATCAGCAGCCAAGCAGTCAATGTCGGCAGCTAGAGGTAGCCAACATCAGCCGCTAGGCAAGAGGGCATTGAACAAGCATCACAATATACGTATTTTCAAGAAAAAATACTAAAAAATATAAATCTATACCACCGCTTTTTTGAAACATTCAAAGAAAAGGTCAAATGTTGCAAATTTATCGAGGACAATTTTGTCAGAACGGGTCAAATTCAGAATTTCATGAAGCTGCACTTCCAATGAGTATCGCTCGATCTGAAATTTGCACTAGATTTCATTTTTTTCTATTAGGTATATTCTGAAATATTATTGGACCTCCAATTGGGGTTTTCAAATTAAAAATAATAAGGTCTAGTTTTGTTTTCAAAATCCAGATCTCTAATCCAATCACATTTTATTTTTAGGAGAATTATTTTTTGAAAACATTTATAGGCCACTACGGACCAGGGGGTGGACATTAAATTCAGTCGGATTGTCGATTTTGAGAATTCTGTCAACCTGTGCGGCCGTGCTATGTAAGCGGGAATAGTCAGTCAAAATACCTGGAAACTACAATAAAACTCTACAAGCCACAATTTGTACTTATTACTCACTTTCTCTACGTAGAGCTCAAAATTGAAGAATACTGAGTACTCGGCAATCGGGGTTTTAATATCCTGTTCGCGATTTTATTTTAAAGGTCTGCGAGTGACAAAATTTGCAAATCGGATTCGCTGTGAGCCTGTGCCTGGTTGACTGCAAAAATAGACTGTGCCGTGAGCCCGTGTTTCCAACGTCCAAATGTCCTTTATCGGATCTCATGTTCACCAATCAGATGATATAACACTATTGTAATTGTTTGGACGACTGACTGATCATTGGTGTTAGCAGTTGTCGTGAACTCTACTACTCTGAGTCTGAGACTCCAACTCTGATTGACATGTTTCGACTTTCAAGTTTTGAGTTTCGACTATAAATCGACTTTCAAGTCTTTCGACTCCTTAGCCAGGGTTTAAAAAAAAAGAGTTTCCAATTTCGATGTCTTTAGACAACCATTTTGTTTTTTCTTCTTCAACTGTTCGTTTAAAAAAAAAAAAGAGATAAGAAATGAGGTTAAAAAAGAGCATGAGACACACAAAAAAAACTAAAAATTTAGTCTTTTTGTTATTATTGAAATTTTGTTTTTCATTTCTCAAGTTGTTGCCGATGGGTGAATAAAAAAAACCCCTGTTGTGTTTTTTAAAAACAAAAAACAGTATTTTTAAAATATCTTCAAAATAAAATAAACTTTTATCAGTAAGTAAATTTGATTTTTTTAAATGGAAAAAACAAAATATTAATATACATATAAAAAACATATGTATTTACCTATGTAAATACTAGTCTGTACGTATGTATATTATTTAAAAAAATAGTTTTGTACATAAAAGCTATTGCTCTTGTTTTTGTGATATTATATATATAAATGAAAGAAGAACTATTCGTAGGTCTTCTGAATTTTGAAAAAGATGCATTTTATTTTCATTTTTCAACTCCAGGAGGCCCCAGGCCCCCAGGCCCAGGGCCTCACCAGGCCCGGGGATGTACTGCACTGCCTGACCATGACCCGACGGTGGACGGTGGTAGACTTGGGTACTAATGGGTAGTCCATAGTCCATACTCGCATAGTAAAAAAATATATATTTGGAAGACATTTGATAGAACCAATCTAGTTCACCACTGTAACCACGAATGGGAGACCTTTCTCGTAGACGTGCACCCCACCCTCTTTCCCCCCAAAATATGGTAACTAATTGAATATTAATACACGCAAGAAGTGCACTATTTACATATCACCAGTTCGGCTGAGCAATCTTTTTAATTTCGACTCCAATGTTAGCGTCACGGTGTAATTTGATACAAACACATTATGTCGCGTTCAGCGAACGAAAGTCAGGGAACTTCGAGCGAAGTGCCTTGCGATAAAAAAATATTTGAAACAGTAAATCAGCCACACTTGAAGCAACGGATACGGAAAGCATATGCAGAACATGAACGACCTTACAAATGTGATATTTGTCACCGTAGCTATGCCTTTGAACATTCAAGAAATCAGGTATGATTTGAAGGACTCTCCGAAGTGATGTCGATTGCATTTTCTTGGATGCCACAATTGCCAACTGTTTCAAGTGTATGATATGCCATGAAGTATTTTTCTCATGTTGCAAATTTGATTGAATCGTCACAGCACGTACGTGTGAAACACATAGGACCAGCGCCGAAGTTGCACTTGACAGCAGATGCAGCGCTACGGCCAAAAGGTAAGCACACACGGCATATATATGTAACGAAGGGACTTGTTCTCGTCGCCGTCTCTCGTGAGTTGGTCAAGGCACATATCTTTTACCGTTTGAATTAAAATTCAGCTGTTGCTTCCAATACTCGTCATTATTTTTAGGCACTTTGTTTGTATATAGCAGTTTGAATTTATGCTTCTCTACTTTTTATCCATCCTTTGTACGCCTTCACAGTAGAAGTGCCATTCGTGGTCACCGCCAAGACGTTTGCACCGATCACTAAACTTACCGGCACGGGAGATGTGAAACGAGGACTCAATTATGTAATAAATATCGCAAACCCTATGACACAAGTTGGCAACCGGAAGCCGCAAGCAAATGGAAATCGTTTGCCACAGATAAACGGAAATCACATACAGCAAGTAAACCGAAGCCATGTACCGCCAACAAACCTAAGTCATGTGCCACAAACGAACAGGAATCACATGCCACAAGCAAACCGGAATCACATGCCACAAGCAAACCGGAATCACAAACTACAAGCAAAAGCAAATCACACAGCACAAGCGATATGCCATCGTGAATCCCAACAAGCGAGTTGTAGCCATCTGCAACAAGTGAGTGCACATCAGCTGCAGCAACCACCTGAAAATCACTTGCAGCAAGCACCTGGCAATAACTCGCAGCAGGCGAATAGAAATTATCTAGAAAACAACATGGAAAAACGGCAGATCCTCGATAAACGGTATGTTAATTTGTGTCTCCGTGTGCGCTTCTTGAGTTTGAATATATTTTTTAATTTAAGAGTAACTCTTGAATATGTCTACAAATGTATGTGCCTACAAACGCTCGTCTTTTATGTTCAGTCCAGTATTGCGAAATTACTCGATCACGGTTCTACCCTCGTAGGAGTTTATCGGGTGACACTTGAAACAAGTTACGATGTTGGATGTTTCCATTCAACATTTACTTTTTTTTTGGTTTAAGGTGTCGTTTGCAGCAATCTCGGTCGTTGAATATCTCGCAAAATGATTTAACTCGGCAAGAACGGACGATACTGGGCAACCCAAATGGCCAGCATGGGGATGTGCTAGGAGATCTACAGGCTGTTTTCAGATCGGTTTCTGATTTCCCTACTACTGCGAGATCTGGTATTTACAGGTGAGCTTTATTTTTGAATGAAAGATAGTCTGTCAATGGTGGCTTATTGTTTTCAATTCGTTTCATGTTGACGCGTATTTCAAATGCACAAGCGATATTGCACAGTATTTTGTTCGTTTTTTAATCCGGGACATCTCAACTACTTATATATATTGGATACAGTGTACCGTCGACACAGATGGCAAATGCAGACGACAGACAATCTGTCGATGACATGAATCTGCCTGGGGCAAATATGCGAATTCAGCGCTTGAATACGTACCGGCGATTATCACAGTGGCACCACCACCCAACTGAGGATCAAGTTGGTCGTGAGAGGTCAAATGTACAGCGACAAGCGTCGAACGCATCACAGTGGAACCATCCATCTGAGGACCAGTTCGGTCCTGAGAGCGTTAAAAGTAATCCACAATTGTCACTGTCCAATACCTTGCTAATGCAGCGTAAGAATATTGGACAAGTGTCCCGTAAAATTAGTAGTCTGGAAGGACAAAGCGCCAAGACGCAGCGAAAAACGTACAGCGGAAATATACCGATGTCTTTAGATGATTTTGTAAAAACCAACCAGCGAGATGGTTGTGGATTGAGCACAGATGGCAACGGTCGCATACGGCATTCCTGGCAGCAAGGCCAGAGTACACCAGAAAGTTTGAGAAAAATGCAAGCGAGTATCACGAAACAACAACACCAACAGCTAGGCGATACAACAGTTCGCATCAGACGCTTTACCAGCCCCGAGGTGTTTGACTTTGAGACCTTTTTAAACGGCAAAGGTACATCAATCACTTCCCCTTTCGGCAGTGGATCGGAACAAGTTAAGCAGTCATGCGCACAGCGCATGACAGTGCGGCAGCCGCAGCCACCGAAAAGGAAATCTAAAACACAAATGTCAGCCGAGACGGTTCATTCACCACGCGCAAGTGGGGATTTGAACCTTCCAAGGATTTCAATGCAAGACTCAGCGGTATGCACTACAGTCCCATCACAATCGCCATGCACCATGGGGAGTGAATTGAATCAACATAATGCTGATTGTTCACAGTCAGGATCAAATCAACCGAGGGGCAATAGTTCTCAATACGGTCAACATGTTAACAACACCGAGGGTACGGGATTGAACTTCCTGGAGCAGCTGCTGAAAGCAAGTACCGATACGCGCGATACAATTCAGAAGAGTTCGAAAGTCTGGAGGTCAAATAATAGCTGTCCAGTGTCTAATGAGCGCAACAATACGGATTCAAAATTCAGCAATGATCTGTGGTTGCAAAATACGCCGTTCAATGACAATGTAACAGTGGTAGACGGTCGTGAAGGGGTACCTACGGATATGGATCAGCAGAAGCTGCAGCAAAGGCAACAGGCCAGGCAACAGCACGAACAAGAACGTCAACGCAGACAGCAATCACATATGGATCAGGAACTCGCACACAAGCATCACAATAACAACAAGAACAAAAAGATTTTTTATAAGCATAACAATAAGGATGCAAATACTACAGAACAAGCAAGCTGTGATATAGGAACACAGCCGTTGCAACCGAATCAGCAGGAGAGTATCTCTCAACAAGAACAGGCAATTCAGAATTGTGCAGGAGAGCAGAGAGTGCCCGCCAATGTACGCACATTGCAGACGGAAAAATCGGTCGAACATAGCAAAAGTGATGCCGGAACCATAGGTGAGGCGGAGGCTCATGCCAGTAACAATGATGTGGATGAAAGTGCGTCAACGGGTACAGATTCGGAAGAGGATGTCAATATTTCTGACCCGTGTTTGTCAGGGAATGTATCGGCCAATTCCGGTGCACAGACCGTGCATAGAAAAAAGATTAATTCGAAGGCGAATATTGAGGCGAAGAGCAGTGCGGATGATGAGGAAGGTTGCAGGACACGCCAGCTGCACAAGATCGACGATAATGACTTCACCCATGCACAGGGTCAGAATCAGCCACAAAGTGATTCATCTCTAGCCGGGAATCACGGTAGTATAGTGGAGAAGCCTGGCGAGAATGCGATACATCCAGCCAACAGGTGCGAAAGGTCGTTACCCTCACCGCTAGATATCGACGCTGTGTGTAGTATACTTCAGTTTCTAGAAGACGGCAGTGATGGTAATAATAAGTCCTGGTTTGGGTCTCAATAATGCACTGCTGCAAGGTGAAATTCAACAAAATAGCAACCGACTTAGAAAGTACTGAGACAGTATAGACAATAAAAGGCAAGGCACCAATGGAAGGCATGAGAATACAATCTAATCAATTCGTAACACTGTAAAGGATGTAGGAATTAGAAAGTGCACAG